TAATATACTATAGGATATAACATTGTAAGCTTGTGATCTAAACGAATTCTTTCATATGATAGCATCACATGCTGTGCTAATAAATATTAGCTAGAAATTTTTTGAACCAGAAAACTTCGCCCACATTTGGGCACTAGAAGAGTCGGGTCATTTTTTTACCGACGCAATGCTTCATTGAGTCGTTCTCTGGCCTCAGTCACTGCTTCATAGAAACAATATAGAAAACGGACAACTCTTTTCAACTGCTGAAGCATATAAGCAGGCTAAGAGACTTTGAGCAAATAGGCCTTTACCTGGTAACGGTAAATGATGAATTGGACAAACCTTTACGTCGAGAGGAGCATGATCTAAGAACCTGAGCAAGCAGCTTTTACCAAGAGCACTACTGAAGGAATCTCTGATTTTTAAGAACGAGCTCGAGTACGATGGCTTCCCCTGGAGTACTGTAATGGAACGAACCGTTTAATAGATTTTCAACTGTGTGACTTTTTAATGACAAGAATAATCAAAAGGATTCTTGCATATGAATGCGTGGCTGTCATTCATTTGTGTTAGTTGAAGGGTAGTCCACCTAATGAAGGACCTCAACAATGTAATGCTACAGAAGATACCATCTGCCAATTGGCGATTGAACTCTGTCTAGGCAAGGGCAACCCCCACACCATCTCCAACATCTAAATCTATTGTAGTTTAACGTTAGATGAAGAACACGAGTAAGCAGTATGAATATACATATGTTCGCAGTTTATTCTTACCCAATCGAAGAAACCTATTCCTACGATAGCTTTAGACGCGCGATAGTTCGAATTAGACAGAATCGCTAGTTCTTTCCAACTAGAACAAGACGTATAAGATCGTGCAAGAGCAAGGTGTATAAGGTCGGATAAGACGTTTCAGGTTGCAGTAGTTTCAATTGACTGCTAGTCATAAAACTCGTTAATTGACATAGATCTATTTAGGCTAACTGCAATAAGTTCTGAGAGTTCCTTGTTTTTTTAGGTCAACCAAAAACAAACGACATCGGTTGGGATCGAAATTGCAATTAACATGAAACTCTTTCGGCATACGATTCAAAGTAGAAATGATTTCTAAACAAGATTTGCCATTGCAGGTGATGAATGAAAAGTCCTAGTTAATCCTGGAGAATCCCCCTGATATAGTAAGACTGTATGAGGAAATTACTGCGATTCCTTCAAAGGTCTTGGCAAACAAAATACGACCTCTTCGGAGGAAGTTACGGGATACGAATCGAGTGCAATTTTAGATGGCACTTTCTTGAAGCTCAGAGGCTCTGGGACCGCGTTGTGTTGTGGTGAATTAGTTCGACGCTTTGAAGTGGAGTCACGCTAATGCCTTGGCTTATAGCCATGGCCATTCTATGGTCGAGGCACGTTGCCATCGGTGTAACTTGTGTTTGTGCTACTTAGAGATTAGAGTGTTGTGTTGCCAGGAGAGATTGTATTTATTTGTGGGTGTCGGGTTTGGTAGAACTAAAAAAAGCGGACGTGTTCGGGCTCGTGGGAAGTTTTTCCTTCAAGTAATCGGAGTTAATTGACTGTAGTAGACAGCGTCCACTCTGGTTCTATTGTTATATATAATATAGTATATAATTATTACTGTATTGGGATAGAGTAACCGTTGTTAGCGGATTTTATATAAACGCCTTAACACTGTTTTTCGATTTTCGACTTGGCTATAAGTAAATTTTGTTGTCCGGAGGCTCCGACTATTCGTTGGACATTTTTCCTTGTGCTTGCTTGCTTGCTTGTTTAATGGCCTCACAAGTCTATCTTTGCAGAACTTATCTGGAAAACTTTGGCTGACGTTCCCGCTCTCGTCTGGTCTTTCGGCCTGCTCGCCATTATGTTATTCAGTTTTATTCTGACGAACACGACAGCTTAGAAATTTTTCTTTTTTTTTTTTTACCTGTCTTATTGAATCGTTTCAATGGTTTACAATGAGATGAGGATGAGTAAGTAACGTGCGACTGACCATAATGACGTGCGCAGATATTTTTGAGCCCCTCAAACCTGTCGGAAGCGTGCTTACATAGTGATTTGTTGGTTTGTCAATACACAAACTCATGGAAACAATTTTTCAAATAAGCGGATTCTGAAACGACACGGTCGAACACCGCAAACGAATGTACCAAGTGAATGGGTTTGCCTGCAAAACATACTCGGGATAGTTTATAGAATTTTTAAGCCCACATAATTGTTCCTATTGGCTAAGTTTTCTCGTCCCGTGTTCCCTGGCTTATGTACGGTTATGAAGTAAACTGTCATGCTTTAAGGTATATCCATGGGATTTAACCTGGTGCTTGTCATTATTTAACCCTTGCGACAGTAATAACAAAATGCAATAGCGTGTTTTGCATGGAGGAATATGGATATAATGAACATTTGTCTGTAAAGTGGTACTGAATAGCGCCGTATGTATACCACATGTCTTCGAAAAAATGTTCTGCATACGCATGCATGCATAATGTATATAAATATTGAAGTGACGACACGCTGGCATCATAGCTTGCCCTTGTAGGGAAGTACCTATTACTCAATATATTATATAGCAATTGGATTAAGCATATATGTTAATGAGCCTTGGTCCCGGCTATATGAGGTCACATAATAGAGCAAAAGTTCAAAATTGGCAGAATAAACCCGATATGGTCAAACAGCCAGGGCATGACAAATTATGCGAGGGAAATGAAGATTACTTTTTAAAAAAAAACATGCTTAATTGGACGCTTTTCGCATGGTTGCTTTATTACAAAGGAGAATGCGAGTCCAACTATAGCATAACCATATATGATATATATATACATGATGCAGCATTTATGATAATTGAAGTTTAATTGACACCCTGCCCTTTACATCAAAGAGGCCTGTCCTGAAGGCCTCGCTAATATTATAGTTAAATTGATAATTATCAATATGATTGATGTACTGATAGCGACCAAAACATCGTAGCTCTATAAAATACGATTATTTTTCTCGCTTAATCTCTCACATTAAATAGCAGCCACGTTGCAATTAGACCACGTGTCTCCCACCATGGAGCTAATTTAATGGGGTTCAGTCGAGCTCATCAATTAAAATAAATGACGCTAACCACGAGCTATCCATAATAGCGCCTTCGTTTTCCTTTATCAGCAATGACAACGTTCTTCAATGTAAAACCCTTGTTAGGTTTCGAAGGCATTGATTACAGCAAAATTCCTTTGTAGCAGTTCTAAAATACGTAAAAACTCATAGGCCTTTTATGGCCGCCAGATTTCGTGTCTGCTTGTCCTTGAAGGTCTAGAATAATATTTGCCTTTCCCGTAATTTAGGTAAAGATCCAATTGCGGTCCAAGTTTACAGTTAACTAGCCCATGTATCTGAGTAAATTACGAACTGTAGAATAATAGTTTTCAAGTTTCACGTTGTTATTGTTTAAACGCAAACAAATGTCTATCTCTATATTTTTTTCTCAATAATTATTAGATTTACTTTCTTTTTTCCTCCATCGAAATTTTCGCGCTGTAGGTTTGAATACTGTGTCCTCAGCAGATCTGCATATAACTTGTTTTGCAAAGCACGCAGTCGCCGTCTGCAAACGGACTTCGAGGTTCTGTAAGACGGAAGGAGTTCAGTCGTCACTGCTTTGGAAGGTGACGTCGAGCTGCTATGACAAATTGTACTAATTTTATGTACCGCGAACGTTGCGAAAGAGTTCCTAGTTCGTTTGGTTGAGTTCGTTTCGTTGCTTTCATCTATGACGATGGGCGGTATTGCTCTCCAAGTCTAGTCCCTGGCACGCCATCGCTTTCGTGATTACTTTATCGGAAAGCCATATGTTCTCATTATCACATGTACAATATATAGAATCTTTCGAGGATAGTATTAGTAAAATTGCGAAAGGATAGAAGCAACTAAGGTACGAAAAACGCCAGAAACAGGGAAAACATGCCGTGCTACAGCGGCGGCAGCCCGCCACACTCTCCTGTCTAATCGACGATCATAGACGGTCTTGATTGCTGGACCAACTGCGGTCTCCCCCGGTGTGAACAACAAGCGTGGTAAATAGAGTTAGAGGCCCCCAAAGGTGTTAGAGTCGACCTGAATTAACAGCGCTTAAACATCATAGGAGAAAACAGCGTCCCGCACTATTTGCGCAATATCGGACTGTAACAATTCACTATTGGCGCTCTGTATCAAAGAAGAAAGAAGTTACAATGGGCAGACGAATGGCTTAGTTGAAACGTAAATTCGAGTTGCACGGACTCGAGGTCAAGATGGCAATGTGAGGCGTAAAAAAACATTGAATTACTTGGGTACAAGTTATGGGACGACGACACGGAGACACTTTGTAGATCTTCACTAGATTAGTCTAGTTTTCGCGATTCTAATGTTTACGGTTTCAGTATTAACGTTCAAAGATGGCATGCGGTCGCGTCAGCTTGAACTAAACAGCATCTGTCTATCTAAAGCAACAAAAAGTTGATAGCGGCAATTCAGTAACTTTTTTTCAATGGAAACATCATGTGAAAATTAGATGAGGGTAATAGTTTCTTGCTTGCTTGCTGCTGTTGTGGGAAATAAGAACACAAATAATTAGGTGTACATGATGCACCAGCTACTAATGGAACCATCAATGAATAACATCTAGATATGGGCCAAAACAAAATTTATAGCAAACATCGGATCGTATTTGTCTCACGTAGATCTGCTAAGGCTAAAATATTCTAGCACTAATATTTATACGGTGAACCATATCTCTATGAGGAATGATGCGGAGCAGTTTTATATATGTGTTATTTTCGGGACTCCACAGGCTCATACTAAGAATTTATATTATAACGAAGAAACCTATGAGAATAAAGCCAATGAGTCTTTGCTTTAGTAAGATTCAATTAACTAAATTACTAATTAAAATTTTTTTCTTAACCTTGTATAAGAATGGGATTTATTTTAATAGCTACTAACGCATAAGCTTCTAATCTTTAATGATGGTTGTAGGCAAACTTCGCGCGGTCGCAACGTGAGCCAAATACTGGACAACTTCTTCATCCGAGGATATGACAAAAGAGTGAGACCCAACTACGGCGGTAAGTATTTAGCAAATATACGAGCGTATCCTACTGCTCTTGAAGAAGACCTTTTTTTGGAACATCTAAGACCCACCAGTCTTTTAATCTGGGATAAAAAGCTCTCAGTAGTAATAATATTTCCTCCCATGAACACCATGCATACTAACCCGCAAATATAAACAAAAACGAAAAACTGAGTGTACAAGTTAGATCATGCATCTACATTTAAGGACAATGCGAAGCATTTACCTTTGTAGGTAATATGAAGCGCTTCTGACTTATATTTTTTTTATGTACTCGTCACCAGATGGCGATATACCAAGCATGATTAAATTGCGCAATATTACGAAAAGCATCTTCGTTTTCCTGCCCTCGAATTAAGGCCGGTTTTGCAAAATAACGATAGGATTATAAAACGTATATCGTATTTTCTAGCTAGAATAGCATAACTGATAGATCGATTTTAGTACGTAAACAAACGACTTAACTTTTTTTTGTATAGAGAAGATGGGTTAACGCAATCATATTTTTTTTCTAGTGAATTTCATGGGGACCGAATGTGGAATTCACTTAGTTGTTCGCAGACAGATGGCGGACGGATAGAGGACGATGATACTTAGTTCTATTAAACCCTCCTTGATATTTCTCTGAGGCGTAGAACTATTTCGAAATATTATTTCAGATTTTCGAAAATAGGGGAGGGGGTCCTACCCTCTGTCCCGCGTGTTGTAAAAGGATGGACCGAGAGTTCTGTTACTCGCTCGGGTAAAGGCTGCTATTTCACAGTGATAAATCGCTGGAAGTAATCTACTTGCTCAGCCAGTGGGCAACAGACGGCAAAACTGCTAACTTCGTTTCCTTTTTTCGTGTCCACTTATCCTATGTGAAGCGTGTCGGGCTTACAGCTGCTGTCCTTGTGATAGCTTAGTGGGTGTTTATCTGCTATTCTTAAGGAGAGGTTCGATCCCGGGCGTAGACAGATTTCGCGTCGTGCTCGAAGCCACCCGCTTGACGGAATGCCTAACGGTGAAACTTGACGCTTTAGTCAGTTTCCATGAGCAGAACTTCATTAGCGACTGTTTGAATATAAGTATTTTAGCAAACATTGTGGGTAACCATGTAACAGCCATCTACATAGTGGGCAAAGTCAATTACATAGAGGCTGCACTTTTTCAAATCACAATACTTCCTGGAGTAGTTTTCAACAGGCATGAAGGTGACATCGTTTATTGGCAGATACTTAGCTTTCATAACTCACCTTTGCCTTTCCTACTATAACGATAGTTTCCTACTATACGAATAAAGATCGAAAGAACTCTTCGCTGCCTAAGAGATCTCTCTGGGCCGCCACGGCCAGGAAAAGATTTTTGCCCGCTGTTTCTTATCTGTCTAGCGTTTGAAGCTTGCTTGTCCTGAAACTCAGAGAGAAGTCGAAACGTGCATCGTGATTTCTAACATGAGCCTTGGTCTCTATAGCTTTTTGCTGATACGAAGTTCCTAAAGTTGTTATCCGAAACATGCGTTCGCACCGAAATACCCTTCCCATAAATGAAGACGCGAAGTAATTTCCCTTGGTTTTGATCATATGTTAGCCTGCTGAGGTGATCCAGCTTGACTTTTCTTGACAGATATCCATGGATATTTAGTGTTGTTTGTAGCTGAGAAATGATCAATTTTAAACAGATGGAGTTCTTTTTGTTGTGGTAAAACTGCTTGAAGTTTTGGAGTTCTGCTTAAAGTATGTCTGATACAAATCGCACTCATACTATATACTGGACTAAATTAAGGCATAGTTGACAATATATTCCTTAGGATTATATAGGTTTTTGGGCAAATATGACAGAAAGCTTGTAACAACCTTTCAGCAAGCTGGTTAAAAACTACAGATAAATGATATAATAAAGAAAGCTTATAGTTTTTACCTTTAGCATTTTCCTTTATTGGGAATATCACAAGAAGAAGTCAAATCCTTAAGGCTAGCTATTTAGCCATTTCCTGGCAGTAATATACTATGACATTTATAACGCCCACTGGCTTGAGTAAGCCTCTATAATGCGCATTTGAACTATTTATATTAGAGCTTCGCCACGAACGTAACTTTGAAAGAAGGCGCACTGTCTAAGCGATAGTCAACACATGTTATGTTTGCAGTCCTGCTATTGTTATTGAAGGCTGTGAATTTAGGTTTGATCAAAGCTTTCACCGAGCTATTGATATTCAACTAACCCAAAGTTTGATATGTTTATGGTTTTTTATACTGAAAAAACCTTAAAAGAACTATTCTAGCGTAATCTAAACTCTACGGACCGGCAGTTATTAAGATACTAATTAAAGGTGTGTAATAAAAACATCTACAAGCACTTATTGCATTGATAATTCCTGCTATTCAAGGTAACAGTGCCATGGCTCAAGGCCTTAAAATGCTAGGAAGAGACAAAACATCACTAGTTTACAATAATGTATATATCGTGGTTCGACTTTTTTTTGTTTCTTTACTGTTCCTCATGACGCACCAGTGCGTGCTCAAACTAACTTCATGATGTGACGCGTTTTTTTGTACAAACTCGTCATTCGATACGCATAATGATTCGAATTTTCTATTGTAGCTGCCTAGCGTATTCTTTAGTTAGTAGATTTTTCTTAATGGTTCTAGTAAGGTGTAGTACTTACCGTGGTGATGCTAGCTTAAAAATGACAGTTTACTACTTCAAAATAATACGTTGCTGTTGCTAGTAATATAATGTATTCTATCTAAATTGTGAATCTGTTCACGCTGAAGTAAAGTCTCTGAAAATTAACTAAAGGTCAAATATTACACCGGTTTCTATACTTTTAACTTTTGTTTCTGTTTAATTTCAGTATAATCGTTGTTTTTCGTAAAGTAGCGGGATCTACGCTACTTGTTACACCCTATACCATGAGAGCCTATATATAGGCTTTCATGGTTACTTAGTCTTTGCCTATTTAATTGGACCCAGTGCTACAGAGAAGCTTAGGAAAGTCTTCAAGGAAAAATTAATATTGCACGAATGGTGTCCTGCTTCTGCCCTCGGCGGCACCGAGAACTTTGCAGGGGCACATCAACTGCTATCCTGAATGGATTGTCAGTTCCTGCTTTCTCGGCTGATACTGCCGTTGTTTAAGGTGGCAACAGGAATAGAAAACTTGAGTTTGTTTGCTGAATCACAAAAATAATCCTTTGAAAAGCCACACATCTACATACAGTGCAAAGCTAGAGCTCCAATCCAGCTTGCGTGTATGATTCGACAAGAAATATCAACACGAGCAGCCAACCCTGAGCTGAACGGGGGACCCTGTGAGGATTTGGAATTACTGTGCGTTGGCTTGTTTGACCAGCTGATTTTTATTGACCACAAGAGGAAAGCACTGTCTTTTTCTGCCACCGTTCTCCGTCTAATTTTTTTGTTCTCCTTCTGTTGCTGCTACCACTTTTCTCAGTGCCCTTACCGGTAACATTAGCACTTGCCACAGCTCTCGGGCCCGATTACTCTAGAGGCAAGGGCTTTGACTGTGCGCATAGTTTCCTTTGCCTCCAGGCAGGACGAATCGCCTTTTGCTCAAAGCTGCCGTTAGCGGCACTGCCTGGAAAAAGTCGACTTATCTTGTCCAAGACTAATCGTCGTATCGTTGGTGATATTTTGTTTTCTTTCTCTGCCTTTTTTCTTTCGATTTATTCTGTTCCCATTCCACACCATGCTATGAATTTGTGAGTAGTAATGCGCGTCGAAAAACTAGTAGGCCAGTTTCAAGCTTCAACACGGGGCTAGGCATTGGGACAGATCATTGTTATACTGTCAACCATTAGTCTAAAATTCGTTGGCCCGTATATTACAACGCTCTTCGTCGATAGGCGAGCTGCATTGGCGATGTTTGTTCTCAAAGAGCAGCCAGATCCTTGTTCCTTTCATTTCAAGGTAGAGTTCCTTCCTGCTCTTTGATGGCAATGCTCCATCGCTCGAAACATGAAAGACTCGCCCCTCCGTGGTCATCACCGTAGATTTCACTATTTTGCAACTTTTTGCAAGGTTTTGGGATAGACGATACTGCCAAAAAGAAACAGAGAAGAGCGATATAGATAGAATAGCGCTTACCGTCTGACTTTCAATGGACCACCGGCCATTGATTGCATCGAAGTCCTCAAAGTAAGTTCTTTCGCGCCCTTTTCATCGATATTTAGGTCCTCTTATTTTCCTGGTGTTACCTATTTTGTTTGGTTGCTTGCTGCCGCCCGCCCTAACATCGACAGCATACATACATACATACGTATGTACAATCTGTTTAGAAGTATATCGAGACATTCAAGCCAGGACTCTTCTGGCCGTCCAGTCCCAGTTGTGTACGTGTTGAGAAGAATTATAGGAAGAGTAACGCTTTTATGTTGGTGTCCTGGATTACCCTGTCGGTATGAACATATTTGCAAGTAAGCTGACGTGTGAGCAGCACCTTTCAGTAATCTCAGCCGTAATAGTACTAATGGAAAAAACTGCGCTAACAAGCTGCTGTGTTTTATTCTTAAATAACCCTGTATCTGTAAAAAATGATCTCCAAATGTACGGACAGTACGTTTACGCTTGGACTTGATATGGGTCTTTGCCCCGAAATATTCTAGCACCAATTGGCAGTTCATAAAACATTGAGTTAATATGCAGATTTACTTCTGCTGTTTTCTTCAGCTGTTAATCGACGCGGTTCGCGGGAGTGGCATAAAGCTTTTTCGCTCGACAGCCAAGACTTGAGTCGGTTATTAAAACGATAAAATTAGGTACATTGCTACCTATGGACATGGCAGGTATCCCGAAACAAGAGTATGGCAGAAGAATTTGTTCCCTCCACAATTTAAACGAGGTACGGCGCCTCAATTAGAAAGGCCTTGACGGGCTGCCTGTCGCAGCACGTAAGTGTTCAGTCATCATGCTTGGTAAAGTCAGTTCTTTCTAAAAAAAAGAGCGACTTATTGGGGCGAAAAACCGTACGTCCAAATTTAGACGAAAATCCGT